GTCGTCGTCGACTCCTGGTGACTGCATGGACAAGTCTATCCTTGTCCATGTAGTTTTCTTGGCAAGAATTGAGGAAGTGGTTTGCCATTGCCTTCTTCCTTAAATGATGTCACGCGCGCGCGGGGAAAGAATGCCTTCCGGGAGGACTTTTATGGGGAACTAGCCTCCTATTTAGTCGTTATTGGCAAGGAGAAAACCCGGAAAACTCCAAGCAGCCAGCCTGTCCGATCGCGGCACGAACCCACGACCGAACTTCCCAGTGTTTAGGGTCCAGTCACCACCGCTATGAGCGGCAACGGAGACCACTCGGCCACTGGTGGGCACATTGATATATACTATATTTCCTCAATTAAATCCCAGGGAATAAAGATACTGTTAAAAATAATGATCTGTCTCAAACACCAGGCTGATGAAAAGCATAGAAATATATTGAAGTACCACATTGTATAAGGTAAGTAATTTAACTAAAATTCTACTTTGTCTTTAGATTGTCTAGTCAGACATTTTCTATTACAAGTCATGAGAACATTTCTGGAAATAAAATTATAAATATTGTTAAGTATTGAGCTTGGGAAAGTTGTGATCAAGTTCATAAATCAAAGCTTATCAGCTGAAGGGTAATTAGGGAAACTTGAATTGGAAATAGTGAGTATATGAAAAATTATATAACTTTTTAAAAATCAAAACATACATTGAAATAAAATTTTAAAATATTTGCTTTTTGACAGGATTTAGCAATAATACACTTTTTAATCAAAATTGCTGAGTTTGTATATGATTCTTATAATGCATAGAAATGAAATTCAAACTACTTATAAGAAAGCCAAAATTAAGGACTTTATTAGGAACATTTTTAGCCTACTTTACAGCAAACTTTAGCTAACTACATTAAACAATAGGCCAAAAATGTTTCTAATAAATCTTTATTTTTGGTTTCTTTAACAAGAAATTTTTATTATTATTTTTTTAACTCTACCAAATTTTCATTCTGTTCTTATAATAAATCTTGAATGATATACATTATCACAAATAGTTTTATTTTTAGATAAATTATGTTTTCTTGGGATTTAAAAACCTGAAATGCTAATTTCAATGATTTACATAAGTTATTTCTATATGTATTTCAGCATCACTTGTTTGAAAATGCTAGAATGCCAATATTAAAAGTTCTTAAAGTTCAAGAAAGCAATTCTATTTTCAATGAAATACATTATCTCAGTATGAATATGAGAAAAATAGGTTTGTGTAATGATTATATATATTTACTCTCTTGTCATATTACAAGAGAGAAAATAGATATAATCATTACACAAACCTATTTTTTAGATATTTATCATGGAATGATAGATATATAAAAATATTTGTTAATACTGTATTCAGAGTGAAATGTTAAAAATAAAATGAAAGATATATTTTAGAGAAATTGGATTTAATAAATCCAATTACCATGTCAAATAAAATTTAATTCTATTTTAATAGGGAAACCCTGTTATAGGGATGTTACAGATTTGTTTCTCCTAAGTAGTTACATAGTTACATTAAATCTTTCAAACTTTAAAATTAAATACAAGGTTAACATTACCATTGGCCAACTTTATATGCCATTACTAAAAAACAAATAGTTCAATGTCACCAGAGAACATTTTAACCAATTTGTATTATTGCAGAGACATAGCCTCCATAGAAAAGTTGTCTCTGTAGATGAAGATTGTATGTTGCTGGTGATTGTGAAGATGGATATCTGAAGACATTTTATATCTTCTATATTTTTGTATTTTATTAAAAAAAATAATTAATACTATTATATTAACTATGAAAATAGTAATTTTTTCAAATTCTGAAAATGTACAAGTAATTGAGGTATTTCTTTCAATTTTTACCCATTCTCCCATTGCAACATTATGAACCCTGACCTCATAAAACTCCAAGACTACAAATAAACCCTAGGGGATTTGTATGTTAGTACCTTAGGAGATTTGTAAATTCTCCAGGGTTTAATCAAGGAAATAAAGTATATTGATAAATGGCATTACTAAAATATTGATAAACACAGGTTATTTTCTATTTGTGATTTATTTTATATTGATAACAGTTGTCAGTATTAATTTTAGAAACTTAAAGTTAATACACTTTTTGCAATTTTAGATTACAAGAAATAACTAAGAGAAAATTCTATTGAATTTTCTCTTAGTAACAGAGTATTAAAAAATTATTTCATAATGAATTACAAGCATTTGAATTAATAAAATTTTTTTATGTTATCATTCATTATTATCATTCATTCATTTCTACATTATTTGTAAGGAATTTTTTTAAAATTAAATTCCTTAATTTCGGAAAATTTAAACATATTTTGTAGAAAATTTATTTTGTCATCTGAAAACTGATACATAATATGAAACAATATATAAGACGAATTGGAATTAAATGTTTAGTGTGGCAAGTTTTCTCAAAAGAGACATTAAAATAAGTAATAAATCAAAACAGAAACAAAAATTTCTAATTTTATATTTTATTTTATTATTTTAAGATTGGATATGATATTGGTGAAGAATTTTCATTTCGATGGTGGGAACAAGTCTTCAATAAAACAGCAAAAAATATTAAAGTTGTTAATTCAGAGGTAAGATTGAGTAATGAAATTTGAATTTACTGATTTGCTAAATTCTTATTTTGAAAATTATTGTTAGTTATGTTGTGATAAATATTTTGAGAAAAATACCTGATTCATTACGTAACAATCATAATAGTTATAATTATTAATATATGCCTGTATATATAATTTTGAATGATGGTAAAATAATTACATGACTTCATGATTAAATAATAAAGGATGAATTGTTTTATGAAATCAATAAATTTTTCAACTGTAAAAATATTTTTAAAGAATTGCACTCTTATAAAAATTTATGAATTATTATAAAAATTAAAAATAGAAATAAAATAATCTACTTTTTAATAAAATCAAAAATAATTTTTATTAGTCTGAAATATTTTCAGAGATATTAAACATTACATCATATGAAAATACAGTAGTGTCAATTCAATTCAGTTCATTCCAGGAGACCATTTAAGCTCTGAATTATTCAAAGTCTGAATGAATTTTTTCCATTAGAATAATGGAAAGTGAATTAATCCATTCCCAGAAACTAAATAATATCCATTTCGATAAACTTAAAATAGCAGATATACATAATTTAAGGTAAAAATAACACAATTAAATGTGCTAATAATAAATTAAAACATAAAAACAATAAATAAAATATGTAAATACTGTGTAATAAAATGAAAATTGCATTTACTGGTTGCACACCAGTGACTTCAGCATCTTAAATATGGCTGCCAGATCCACCATATGTATACTTTTTTCTTGCTTCATGATAAGTTTCTTTTTTTGGTTTTTTTTACCTAAGTTATGGGTGTTATAACTTTCCTCTTAGACTTCATGCTTCCACACACTTCTAGCATGTCATTGTAGGTAAAGTTTATATTTGGGTGAACAGAAAGATTTTGTGTATTTTTAACAGCTATTGTTACTTAACATCTTACCATGTATGTATGATTTAATTATAATAGTTGTGAATCCAAAATCAATCTTTTAAAAGAAATATGAAAATTTTTCATTTATATGTGGATATGCATGCTTTTATTGTGTACTACAAAATAAATTTATAATCATATTTCAGATAAAGTTAATATTGCAACACTACCTTCAAAGAAATTACAGCTAATTCCCTTTTACTCAAAGAACTATCCCATTAAATCACTTAGGTCACTGTCTTTGGAAACTGTTTTGTTGGCTGATGCGATGACCAGGAGGAGGGAAAACGTAAACGAGAGGATGCACTTCTTTCTTTTATGCATCTTGCAATGAGCATGCCTCATAAATGCTTTAATTCCATCATATTTAACACTACATGAGGCTCGGCAAATGATGCAACAAGCCAAACAAATATCATTACCAATTAACCAATTTTTGAATTTGTTCACTTTAGCCACAAATATCTGAACTGACACATCTTAAAAAATCAATTTTTTTAAAACTCAAAACAGCAGTAAACTTATTGTGAACACATATTTTTACTTATAATCATGTAAACCACATTTTAAAGTTTAACATATTTCAGCATTATCTGTGAATCATAATAAAAACTTTCATAATTATAATGAGAAATTCCTTTTGTTTCCATATTCTGATAGTATTTAATAAGCATACTAAATATTAAAAATAATTTATAATTAATTAAAAATAATTTTTATATAATTTTGTTTATATTTTAAACTGTTTTGTTGACACTTAAATATTTTTGTCAACCACCGGCCTTGATTTGAAAGTAGATAGTCTGATACTTCAATTAATGTTAACTTGCTTATAATTAAAATTTAAAAAAAAATTAATTATAAGCATGTTTTTCCATTCATTAGTGTTTGGAAAAAGTTATGGAAAGTCAGAAAATTTGTCAAAAATTGCCAAAAAGTCAGGAAATTTGCCTCCTTGGCTGCCTTAATCTTTTTGCTGACAATATGCTTGACTAAGTATAGTTGTCTACAGTCAGCTAGAAGTAATGTGGTGCAATACAACTTATGAAAAGGGTTGCAGAATATTTTTGAGACCCAAAATTTCTCCAAAGCATACAAAAAATTTCCCCAAAAAAATAATAAATAGTTTTAATTTAAATGGTATTATTTATCAGTTTTCATTTTAATAATTTTGATTGCATAACAAAACAATTTCTGATTTTTCTAGTTTATTAATATTTTATAAAGTTCAGGAAATTTATTAAAGGATAAATTTAATAAGTATATACTTTTGTACCTGAATTATTCAGGATTTGTTAATGAATAATAAATAAATAATGGCTTTTTTTCCCCAAAGTCATATAGATTTATGGTTATGTATTAATAACAGAATAAACTGTTTTAATTTAATTATTAAACATTTTATTTTTAAATTTTAATAATTCAGCAATTATAAAACATATAACTGTTAATTAGAAAAAATAACTAAAAGTTTGGAGAAGCAATAACATATGTGCATAGTAAGTTAAATGTAGTTTTATTTTGTCAATGTGCCATGCTGTAAGGGGCATGAGGGTCAGGGAATTTGTACAAAGTTGGTCAGGGGAATGTCGTGGAATTTAAAATAAAAATTTGAGTAGGAATCCTGGAGATTGTCTCTGTATTCAACTGTTCTAGTTACATTTATTTCCATAAGAAAATTTAAGAAGAGAATGGATAACCAGCCATGCATGTACAGTACAGTACATCCAGCTAGATAAATAACTTTGCCATCATTAGACACATAAGTCCATACAGAATGATTACTTGCAGATACAGTTTGTGATGGCACTACATTTGTCTTAAGGACAAATGCTCTGTGACAATTTATTAATTAAAATTTCTTCTACTTTACCACTTGAAAAATAATTGAGTCAAGACTTCTATAATTAAGCTTTTATTGGTAATCATAGGCTTTTCTTTTAATAAGATATTCAAATATAAAATTATCTCATCCAAAACCTTTAAATTTCTGGTACAAAATGAATATAGTCACTGAACTAACGTTTTTGATCTTTAACCAAGATCTTCATCAGGTTTGTTGTCGTTCTAAAAATGGAATGTTAAGAATATAGAATGTTTTTGAATACAAAAACTAGGTGTACAGTATCCTGATAAGGGATCACAGGTTCCAAAGAGATCTTGTATACATTGGATCCACCAAAAGGTCTGTTCAAAAAAGGATTGCTGAACATAAATATGACATTGACAAAAAAAGACATACCACTGCCCTGTCAACATATGCCATGGACCACAATGTAAGAGCTGACTTAAGTAATACCAGTCTTATAAAAAAATCATTCAAAACAGACCACATCAGGACCTTGGAAACCCTTGAGATTTACAAAGCAACCAAGTCGGGGATTTGTATAAATTTCAAAGATAGTAACATAATATCTTATATGTGGCGCTATAATTGTGATGAGCATCCACATTGGTAATTATATATTATTCCTTGGAAGATGGACAACATCATTATTATGGAAGACTTCTGTCTAGTTAATTAATTCAAAATCTTTGCTCTTTATTACATACTGGAGAAAATTTAATTTAATTTTGTATTCAAAAACATTCTATATTCTTAACATTCCATTTTTAGAATGACAATGAACCTGATGAAGATCTTCGTTAAAGATCAAAAACGTTAGTTCAGTGACTATATTCGTTTTGTACCAGAAATTTAAAGGTTTTGGATGAGATAATTTTATATGTACTGATATTTATTAATGAATGTTGTTTCTATTCAAATATAGCAGGATATTCCATGGAAAGATGGCCATTCTCTCATGTCATTATTCCATGATTTTATAGGATTAATTGGTGAAAACAATATCAATCTGAAAATAAGTTAGAAAATACAAGTTTGTAGAGAAATTATGCAAAAATCTGAAAATTTTGTATTAGACTTAATTCTATGATATTCTGTGAATGTTTTGGATTACTTTATGAATTAAATAGTGATATAAATATTTCCTGATAGATAATAACAGTGGAATATTAGTAAAATTACAGAAGCCAATTTTGCCAATTATTTTCTAGAAATAAAAAAATAAAATTTAGGTTTTCTTAATTTTAATTTTAATTTTTATCAGTATTAAGATATTTCCTTACCAAGCAAGTAGCATGCTTTTTTTCTTTATGTTAAAAAAAATTTTAACTTGTGTAAAAGTGATTGAAAATACTCATACAATTTAAAAATAAAACTCTTATCGATTACTAACAAAGTGATTGTTATGAAAAAATTTCTATTAGTTACTTTAAAATCAATTATATTCTTAATTGTATAGTTCTGCAGTTTAGTTGTTCTTGCAGAATCTTAATGGCAATGCAATGGTGGTTCTGCAGTGTGGAAAAATACATGAACCTTTTCAGGAAACTTGTGGATACTCCTATTGGTTTTTGTTACAGATTTACAACATTCAAAAATTTATGAATCTTGAAAGAAAATTGAAATATTTTGCGATTTATGAGTTTTTAGAGTTAAATAACCTATTTATTTGAAATTAAAATTAAATCAAGCCTTATATTATGGCCAGTAAAGGGATATTTTCTTGCTTTCTATATTATTTTTGATTAATACAATATTAATATCAGACAAATTAATAAATGTTTTCTTTCTAAATAATTAAACATAGAATTCAACTCACTTCTAATAATCTGACCTTGTTCCAGTCCCACATATATTGGATACCAAGTTTGTACTGTATTTGTTTGCAATTTTCTATAATGTTTTGTGTGTGAAGACAGAAGTTTAATTTTTCATATTGTTGATTTTTTTCATATGTTTATTTGTGCATGAAATTTTTAAAACAACGTAATTCATTGTTTTAAAAATTTTACAAATAGGCATTAGTTCCGATAATGCTCCATTGGATTCAGCCACACCTGAAGAAGAGCTCTGAGTTGGAAGAATGTTTATACAGTGTTCAGTTTTTTGTATTATATGCACTGAAAGTTTGTTTCTGTGTCTTTTGTACATACATGGTATGGCTAGAAAATTACGAGACTGTGATTGCTTGCAAGCAGCAGTCACATGTGGGTTAACCTTGAACAAGTTAGAACAAGCACAGCAAGTTTCAACTTGCTACCACTATTAGATTTGCTGTGCAAATAAATGTGTTGTTAGAGCACATCAGAAAAATGGCCAGCTTGAAAAAGGAACAGTGTATTAACCCTGAAATATTTAATGAAATTGAAAAAACTGCCACTAAATCTTTGCACCTGCTACATGATAAAAACTGCCACTGAATCATATGCATGACAAAAACATGCAAATGCATGCATTCAAACTTATATGCACGACAAAAACATGCATTTGCATGTTTTTGTCGTGCATATAAGTTTGAATGGCACAGATTTTCTGAGGGTTGAGAAGATGTGAAAGATGATGTATGTTCTGGATGTCTCAGCATATCAAAAACCAAGGGAAATGTACAAGAAGCGAAACAAATTGTGAGTCAATACTACAAAGAAGTTGTGGAATCTTTGCGAGAAAGGGTCAGAAGAAAGTGGCAACGCTTATGGCAAAATGGTTTCATCCTCTATCAGGACAATGCACCAACACCCATCGTATTCACCTGACCTAGCTCAGTGTGACTTTTACCTTTTCCCTAAAGTCAAATCTGTTCTGAAAGAACACCATTTTGATTCGGTTTCTGCTGTCAAGAAAAAATGATGGAGCTTCTCCGTAGTCTTACAGATAATGACCTGCAGCAGTGTTACGATCAGTGGAAGTTGCGAATGCAGTGCTGTGTGGAAGCAGAAGGATTATACATTAAAGGGAAACACAACTAAAGTGAGTATCCTACTCAAGATCTAAAGTTCCAGCTTCAGTCTCATTATTTTCTAGGCACACCTTGTGTATTCCCTTTGTGAAGTATTGTGTATATTATTGTTGATATCATTTATAGACTGATTTTTCAAAGTAGTTTAATAGTTAACTAATTAACTTTTTGTATTGTTATACTCTGTATTTAATGCATAAATACACTTCATAATAATTTAAACTAATTTTAAATTTCTACTTTAGGATAAAGTAGAAATTACAAGAACAGAAAATGAAAGCAGTAAAATTTCTACCAGAAAGTCTCATATATCATTAGAAAAACCTACACTTATGTATGGTTCATTTATAAAAGTAAGTAAAACATTTTAACCACATTATGAAAATTGCATTTTTTAAAATTCTTCATCAAACCAATAAAAGAAAAGATTTATTTTCAGATGTTTTTCTACATAAAGACAAATCCAATTGAGTGTATTAGACAGAATGGAATATTCAAATTTAGAAGTTTTTATAAATTATACTTAAAATTAAAATTTATGTTTAATCTATGTTTCTATAACAAGAAGTGATAGAAACATATTGATCATGGTGTGAAGATTCAAAGATTATACAATTTAGGTTTATATACAAAGTTACAGAGTACAAAATACATATACAGTAGAAGCATCGATTATCTGACTCAATTGGGGACTCAGGTTGGTCGGATAACTGAAAAAATCAGATAACCGAAAATAAAAAAATACATTATTAGTATAGTATATTAGTATATCGCTAATTAGTTAAATGTAATTAGTATATTAGTATATCGTTAACCTACTTCGCATTGAGTTTTCATTGATGTTAAGCCTAACAAATTTTTTTTAAAATAATAATCGTCCTAATTGTTAAAAATTATTTTTAAATTATTTTGTTGCTCACAAAACAAACAACCACTCATAATTAGAAAATTAAATCTTGTTTAAATACTGGCCTCCCTTTCATGGTCGAGCCAGTGTTGCCAGCTAAAACATGCAAAAATTTAACAAAAATAATATTAAAGTAGCCAAGACATAGCCAAATATTGTAGCGCCACATCACTAGCGGACATTTGAAATTTGCTGACTAGAACGGTCGGTTAACGATGTGACGGTTAATCAGAGGTCGGATAATCAATGCTCTACTGTATATATATATGTTACTGGCCAAACCCGATTTCAAGCCAAACTAGTTTGTCCTAGGAAAAATGGGTTTATCCTATGCATGTCAGGATATACTAGTTTAGCCCATGACAATCTAGTTTGGCCTAAATACTTCAGGCTTAACTAGTTTGACCTAAGGCCGAACTGATTTAGAATTATTATTCAAGTATATTAATAATAAAATAAAATTAAAAGGCAATCAGTTAGATGAACAATATTTATTCAAATATAGTCTACTTAATTATAAAAAACAGTATTGATTAGAAGTGACACAACACTTGTACAAAACTATAAAATAAAAATAAGCCAATCAGTTAGTTTGTATTTTTTTTATTAAGCCCATGCACTTTTAAAGGTAATTCACTTTCAAAAATATTTTCAAAAATTCAAATTAAATAATAAAAATAATTTTTAGAGTCAAACTAAAATTAAAAATGAACTTATTTGTGCTTCTTAGTGTAACATATAAAATATTTAATATTTTATTTATTTTTACAGGGTGAACTGTAGCGGCATTTTGAATTACACAAAATCATTTTTTTTTTACACTGGCACTTATTTGTAGCACAGTTTTGGTATAGGTGCACCTCATAAAACCTTGTCCTGTCCCAGCTGAATGTTTGGTAGCTGCAGTCCTTAGTGAGATTTGAACATCTTGATTAATGTCACTTCCTTATAGAAATTTTTGAGTACAAAGGTCGAATTCAGTTATGTAATAAACAAATACTTTATTTTGACCAAATTACATAACATACTTATGCTTTTTAGACCAAACAAAATGGTGTTTAACATTGTGCTTTTTTTCTTTGAAGATCTTTATCAGGCCTTTATTATAATTAAATATTATACAAAAACCATATCTGAAAAAATTCATAAAACTTGAAAACCTTTTCCAAATTTAAAAACAATAATCATCGAAATCAGTTCAGATTTGACAGTGAAATAGAGTAACATGGTCATTAAAAAAGAATTTCTTTTTTTGAGGTAATTTCAGAAAAAATAAATAATAAAATGCATAACTAGCCTGCAATAGAGTGTCTGCAATATTCCATGCTTAGTTCCAGTTTTGTACAGGCCATCATTGTTTATTTCAAGAACAATGCCAATAACATTTCTTAGGTCACCTCTTTCTGTCTACATCAGGAATGGGCACAGTCACATTATCTCCCACTTTAGCTGGTGGATGTGATTTGTCAGAAAGCAGATTTCAGATTTTTTTTGCCTGTTTCTGAAGGTTTTCAGCAGCTGTTTGTCTTGCCTTTTGGATATCATCACTAATTTTAGAAATTTTGGTATCATTACCATTGCTATCATTTCCTGAATCATTGTGATCATTTATCTGTGTATGGGTTAAATCAGTTTCATTAAGTTTTTGAAGGTCATCTTCATCTTGAATATCCTTTATTATTTCTGGTAGTAGTGATGTCATTGAAAGACTAACTCTGGGTTCAACTCCAAATATAGCTTTGTAAGGCGATTGTTTATGCCTGAATGATAGGCCCTGTTTTTCATAAATTGTACATACCTCAAGCCTTCTGACCATTTAGTCAATTGATTATCTTTTAGCAACAACTGATCATGTTCTTGACATCTTGGTTGGCTCTCTCGACGGAGCCCCAACTTTGGCTGTGCCATGGTTTTCCATGCACTAGCTTAAGTTCTGGCTAAAGACTCATCATTTCACAAAGGTTGTATAATGTTAATCACATAATTTATGTGTAAGTTTATTATTGTATTATTTTCTTTAATGATTTAGAAAGTACTGTTCGTTTTGGGTTCAACAGTTTATTTACATGTGCTGTTACTTAAGCTTTCTCCTATTTTGACATATTAAAAAGTTGCATTTTTGTCTTAATGTAATAAAAATATTTTTATTCAACATTCATCATCAATGCATGCTGAATGTTGATGTTTGCTGGTGTAAGTGAGAAATAATGATATTTAGCAAATATTTCATACATACACGAAATGACTGTGTGAATGTTGACATTTACCAGATATCGGTCATTCACAGTAACATATATATAAAATATAAAAAAGGATTAATTTATGTATCAATAGAACTTTATCTCAAACCAGAAGCCATATTTAAAAGCTAAAAGTAAATGTAAATATAAATGTAGAAAAATATTTTGTAATAAATTAGTGAAAGCAAAGTTAATGAAAGTAATAATCTAAAGTTAATTCTTCGTTTTCATTATAAATTTTATTTTAAAATTTTTATTATTTTAAAATTAAGGATTTAAGTATAATTGAATGACATAACAAAATAAGTTTGGTGTTTAATTAAAAATAAGATTTCAGCATCTATTATGAAAGTGGATCTATCTGTTATATTTTAGAAGATAAAGAAAAGTATCACAAATAATAAAATTTAAAATTGAAAGAAAGCATATAATATTAATTCAATATAAGCTTCTGATCTGTATTATCAATTAACTTACAATAAATAACTACAAGCCTCATTGGCTTTTCCAATATAATTACAGATTCATCATACATCTTTTCAATTTTTTATTTAATCAATGCAAAATTTCCTGGAATACATTTTGGCCTGTTCAAAAGTCCTCTTCAACCAGGTAGCATATATCTATATATATATATATATATATATATATATAGTGTCATAGTGTCAAATGTATATATATATACATTTGACACTATGGCATAATAAATAAACATCTATAAAAGAATCCGACAAAGTAAAAATACAATATTCATAAACCCAACAATTACAATACATTTTTACCACATTCAACAACAGCAACAATGCAAAACTTCCATAAATAAATCCACCACTCGTAAATGTTTTTATGAGTGGTTGGTTAGATGATGTGAGTGACCTTATCAATTGTTTTTGGTCAACTTGAAAAATTTTAATGAAATAAATGTACATATCTGATATAATATTAAGGTCAAGAGACAGACTAAAAAAAATGGTGGTTTCAATTAAATGGTGTATTATATTTACAATAAAGTTAAGAATACAACAAAATAAAAAAATGTAATCAAGAACTAAATGTATACAAAGTATAAAATTAAATTTGAGTATAGTTGTGATGCTTATACATTTGAAATCAATTTTATGGATGTTTTGCATTGTCATTATTGTTGAACATAGTAAAAATGTATAGTAATTGTTAGTTTTTATGAATATTGTATTTTTTACTTTGTCAGATTCTTTTATAGATGTTTATTTATTATTCCACAGTTTCAGTATCCTACTTGGCTGAAGAGGGCTTTTGAACAGGCCGAAATGCATTTTGGGAAATTTTGCATTGATTAAATAAAAAATTGAAAAGATGTAGGATGAATTTGTAATTATAATGGAAAAGCCAATGAAGTTTGTAGTTATTTATTGCAAATATAATATTATTTCATGTTTGAACTTTTTCTGAAATTATAAATAGAGATTTAGCTACATAAAAAATTATATAATTAATAAATAAGATTTTTATGAAATATAAGAACTAGAAGATAATATACTTGGCAAAATGAATGGGTGTGAAAACACCAGTTTTTATTAAAAACAGTGATGTATATTACATTACTTTTTGAATAAAAACTGGTGTATTTTCATATTTTTATTATAATCATTCGTTGACAAGTGTAGTAGTTACTAATGCATCTTAAAAAAAGCAATAAGTTAGATAAAGAAAACACAAAATATGTCTAATGAATTGATTATGATATTGTCCTATATATAATCAAAATACATTTCAGATCATTAATTCATATGGTTTAATTTTTTTTGTGTTTTTTTTTTACTTTAATTGTTTTGACTGAATTTGTGAAATTGTGATTTTATTTTTAATCATATTTTACTTTACAGGGAAGCACTCATAACACAGAAGAAATAAAAATTAATGAAAGTACTGAAAATTGCAATGACTGTAATTCAAAGTGAATATATAAAATTATTCTTAATTTATATATTTAATAAGCAGTAACTATTAATTTTAACAAAATATTACAATAAATTAATCAAACTAAAACTAGATTAACATATATTTCTGTATTGTTGTTTTTATTGTTAATTTATTTACTTAAGTTTTAGTTGTTAATTTATATTATTGGCTTAAATTATTTTATTTAATCTAGAGATACATCCATGAAAGAATTTAAGATACTTATCAGCTGATATCAATTTATTTGCTAATAATAATCTGATAAATGTCATTGAAACAATCAATTTTATTTTTGAAATAATTGATTGGTTGTCAGTTATTAAAGATTAATTTGAGAAAATGTAATATGCAATAAAATAATACTACAATGCTGATCTATCATAATCAAGTTGTATTGTTACTGAAGTGAAGAAAATGTGTTTGATATTTGATAAACTGGCTAATCTGCTATGTAGTGATTTGGCAAGGTAGCCCACGTTACATTGGAATTTCCTAATTTCTTTGAACATATAAAATATTTTGATAGCATTCTTTTTTATGAATTTTTGAATGGTATTTTACCACCAGATGGAGTGGGTCTTTGCATTCCTTATCATAATACCCATAATTAGTTGTGTACACACATTCAAAGACATTGTTTATGTATTACACAATGCATTTTTTTAAAAAATCTGAACTGCACTCTTGATGACTGATGCAAATGGAAAGGCATAAATAAAGACATACTATACGATTCTGGTATTGTGTTAAATACTACATGCTGCATAAACAATTAATATTTTATTTGAACCATTGATATTAGCTTGAGTATGTTTAGCTTGAATTAATAAACTTGATGTACAGTGTAATAGAGAATAAGTTCTTAATTTGTTTTATTAGTGTAAGCATTATATTGAGCTGAACTGAACTGCTAAAATACTGAACTGAAATAACATTAACTAGTTTGAAAGTATTCAAATGATTTCAAAATTAAATATTTGAGTATGATTTATACTTACCATATTTACTTGCATATAAGACAAGCTTTTTATTCATTTTTCACTGCTTCAAAAACCTAGGTTGTCCTGAATGCGCAAGCAAAACATTCTTTGTGTTTTTGTAATAATTTTTTAAACCGTGTATTCACATTTTTTTACCTGATGCTCAGTCTCTGGTGTTTAAAAACAAAATTATTTTATCAGGGTCATTTTAATCGTTCTTGTGTATTGTCAAGAATAAAGATGAATAGCAATAGAAAAGCAAAATTTTTTAATTGAATTCCAAATTGAAATTCCAAAATCACACAGGAGCCCGATATAAGTTAATCCATTCCCATGTAAAAACAGATGATTATTTAGAAATCAGAATTCGGAGAAACTTATAAGTGTAATCAACAGAGAGTGGACTCAACTCTTAAGAATTGGCAAAAAAGATTCCTGATTATCCAGTTTTACATGAACAAATTATGTCAATTTTACAAGATTTTTCTTTAAAGTTTAAAATGCCAGTAATTTTTGTGGGACAATTTGTGCATTTATGTTCATTTGATATTTTATTTGTGATTAAATGAAATAAAATTAGAATTGTATTAATAAATCTAATTTTCTTTATTTTGAATTTTAAAGTCACGCCTCATCTTATATGCAAGTAAATACGGTAACTTTGAATAAATATTAATTATTATTATAAAGATGTANATTTAAACAAAAAAATGAACAAAACAGAATTTTAAAATATCTTTTAGATATTCATATGAAGACATTTTCAAGAAATGCAAAGGTAGAACAGGACATAAGTAAGTTAGTTTATGATTATATTTTAGTTTACTTAAATTGCTAAAATAAGTATTAAACTAAATTATAATATATAACACATTATCAGGGATTGCACTGCAAAATGCCAAAATTGCTACTTGGTGATAATTTTATTAAAGTGGCGATAAATTCCTAATCCGCTTATTTTGACATTCAGCGTAAAATTGAATTCCAAAGCATGCTTCAGGAAAAACAGCAGAATGTCTAGCTCCCGTGTGATGGGAGCTAGACATTGCACCACACACCTAGCAATTTCATGTGGTAAGTTTGAGCAGAAATAGGACAGTGAGAATCAAAGGCAGTTTTGAGAAATGCTGCCAGCATTTTCAGTTTGGGGACTTTTTATCGACTGACAGAAAATTTGATGAATTCCTTGGGATGACTGGCTGTTATGTATACATAACAAGGAAAATATGGGAAATCATGTCAAATTTGACACTCCAAGTTTTTTGCAAATGTCCACAATTTTGAGACTTCCTGAATGGTCTGGGCAAATCTGTATGATAGTCATGCAAAACAGACTCTTATATTGTCAGCAGGATAGAAAGAATTTAAAAAAAAATGCTTAAATTTGATTAATTTAATGTAACTTTCTTTTTCAGTAAAAGTTGAGACCTTATGTCTTAAGAATGTTTTTGTATAGAATAAATATTTTTGGCAATTTAAATTGTGTTCTGAGCTTCTAATATTCTAAAATTTCAAAAATTTGAAAATAATTTTTGAAGGGTTGCAAAAAGTTAAATAATATTTTTAAATATAAAATTCCTAGACAGGATCAGCGTGACCTTTTGTGGGGCTCGGTTCAAAAATTTTTTGGGGCCAGAATACACATTCAATTCCTATACTTAAATTTTGCTATAAGGAATTATTTATTATAAGTACAAAGAATGTTACATATATTTTTTGTACAATGAATATTACATAATTTTTCTTGCTTTTTTTGCTGCAAAATCTTTGATTATGTCATCAAAATTGATTGAGTTTGCTACTTTGCTTTCTGTTGAAAGAATAGCCAGAGATGCAAATCGGTCTTGGCTTATTGATGATCGAAGATAATTTTTTATTAGTTTCAATTGCGAGAAACTACGTTCACCTGAAGCCACAGTTACTGGCATAGTTAACATTATTTGTAACGCAATTAATAAATTTGTGTATGCTTTCGAAAGATTGTTTTTTACAATGTATTTCATCACATCTAGAGCCGAATAATTGGCTTGCATTATCAATCAGAGCATCTTAATCTCTTCAAACATTTCAGATTTGTCGAAATTTTTTTCAAATGTAAGTGAAGATCTTGACAACATTTTAATAAATATTCATCATCTAAATTCACAATCTCATTCATAGAAAATCAAAAATATTCTGGTGATTTGCATATAATTTAAATCTACTTTTCAATGATACTAATGCAGTATCTATTATTTTTAAAAAGTAATGTATATGGAAGTATTCTTCGTCGCTGATCGTCGATAATTTGTCCTGTCCTTCATAATCAAATAATTTTCATTTTAATATTCAATCTACTATACAGGGGGTCCTGCAAAATGTGTGATGAGTTTTCATAGACTGCAGGAACTTTCAAAATGTGGGGCTGGGTTCCGGTGAACGTGCTGAACCTGTCTTGTGCTAGCTCTGGTCCTAGACATTGAATACCTTTTGTTTTCCTGTTATTATATTCTAGTTGTTCTAAAGATAAAAATATGAGATGTTTTTAATTGATTTATTTAATTACAGTGTTACCTCAGGATATGAACGCCCCAGCATACGAAATTTTCAGGATACGACATGAAATTCGAACATATTTTTGCTCCACGATACGAACAAAAACTTACCATACGAAGTTACATTAGTTTGCAGCGCCATTTTTTATTCACTTTTGTTCGTTGGTTTCAGTCCGCGTGTTTGCTTCGTCATGGCAGGATCTCGCTCGATAAAGGAAATCTTGAGATATTATTAGAAAGTGACTAATTTTATTGAAAAGAAACACCCCGAAATGGTTCACACTGGCCGTATTGCTACTCAGAATCATGACATCTACCTAAGTAATTTTAGAAACATTTTAAAAAGCAGGAAAGCCAAACCTCTTTGGATAGATATTTTACCAAGCGACCTCTATCCAGTGAAAGTGCTGGTGGAAGTGAAGGAAAGAAAGCGAAAAGAAGTGAATAAAAGTTTTAAAAAATATATATAAAACAACACTAATTTTTTTAATCTTTTCTAAGTTATTTTTAAGTTATTGTTACATTATGTTATGTAAGTTAAGTTTTAGTATAATTTCCCTTCTCCCTCTCTCCGCCACCAGTTTACACCCCTACAGTCGTCTATCCTCAAAGATAAAGTGCAAATAAAACTACATTTTTTTAATCAATTATTATTCTATTATGGTTATTTATACATTTACAACTACAAAATGCATTTTTCAGTGTTTCCTTACTATAGTTATTTTTTTTTTAATGTACTACTTAGCTTTAATTTGAGTGTGTTTTTTGTGTTGGAACGAATTATTTGGTTTTACATGTAATGGGAAAAAATGATTCACCTTACGACATTTTCATGATACGATCTCAGTTTCGGAACGGATTAATTTCATATCCTGAGGTACCACTGTATACTATTTCTTTAATATTGTTTCTGTAGGTATTAATTCTCTTAATAAAGTTTCATATGCTACATTGTGCTACAATGCATATCATAATAGAATTGAGTATTAAAAATGTTTTGAAGAGGTAAAATAAAAAGATTTCACAGGACAAATGAATATTTTATGAAAATGAAAAATAGAATTTTATGAAGAGAATTAGTGTTTAAGAAAATCAAAGATTATTAATTTTCAGTTTTTTTATGATGCATGACAATATTTTAAAGGCTTATATTAAAACAGTTATCATTAATCACTTTATTGAATTATGTTCTAATTTTGATTTGAAGTGATGTGGTTTATTAGTATGAAATACAGCAAAATCTGCTTATTTTAATTACAGATTTATCATCATATATCTAATGTTATCAGAATTAGCACATCCCATAATATATAAAAATTAAAATGCATTATAAAGCCTTATTCATTGTAATCATAGTTTTGGTTATAGTCACGGCCAACTGTAGGGACCACAAGGCAAGCATCTGTTGAAGTGTTGAAGTAGAAAATTTTCAATAGTGTCATTTTGTAAAGATTAATTCTATAAAAAATAAAGAAATTTTAAAAAACTTTGTTATGTATTTAAAACAAATAAATAAATTCTATTATTCTGAATCAGTTTTTAAGTATATGAGGACAAAAACAACATTGTTTGCTGGGATGGCAAAAAATCTAGAGCCAGTCCTGGTTATAGTTTTATCTTCATGCAAACAGGCATTTTGGTAAATTGTCTTTTTGCATCATCAGTTTCAACATGTGACTGATAAACAGTTATTATTAGTTATTGTTATTGGTCTTAATCAATGCTTTAAACAGTAAACATTCATAAGTAATAATTAAAACAGAATAAATAAAAAAAAACAATCAAAACGATAATTAAAACAATTGTTGTTTTGATTGGTTTTTTTTTTAATTTGCTTGCACTACAATAGCTTAAATTACTGGCATTTGTTACTTCATTTATACATTGGATGAATTACTATTACTTGATGATGATAATTTTAATCTATAAATCATCAAATTGTATGTTTTTTATTGTTTTAATATGTCCTCGTAATGTTAAAATCAATAAAACCAGAATTTTCACAACTGAAGTCTTTTTTTCATTTATTTCACTTAATGTTATTGATCAATTATTATCATCAGAATAAGTCAATCCTGAGTACAGGTATTTTCATCAGAATAAACAAGTACAGTAAGTGAATTCTGCTGTATTTAGAATTTATGAAATACATTATCATTGGGAGTTTTCAGCAATACCTATGCTAATTTATAATTATATATGAATAAATAATTGTGATTTATGACATTTTTCCCCCCTTTTCTCTTGTATGCGGCTCGTGTCAGTTCAAAAGTTTTGAAATGTGGCCGTTATATAGAAAAAGGTTGCCCATCCCTGACTTGGACCAAAGAAGTTAAATCTCACTTCTGTAATTAACTCAAAAGTTTTGTATGGTCATTCACAAATGAAAGAACCTGTTGAATATTGCCATTTGCGAGAAACATACCTGTTTTATTTATAATCTGTACATTGCTAATTTAAGAAATTTTTATTTAATAATAATTACTTCTTTTTATTTACAATTTAATAGAGCAGCCAGGCATGGTATAAAAATGAATGGAAAGCTTAAAAGGATTGAACAACAAGAAAATGAATTAAGAATCAATAGTTGTGTTTCTGATGAAAAATTAAACAAATGTGATAATTTGTTAAAGAAATTAAAAAAAAAAGAAAAGAAAAGAAAACAGAAAAAGAAAAAAATAATTGAATAAATTAATGAGTAAGTATTCTTTATACTCTATTAAATCTTTTTCATAGTAGAATCAGAATATTAATAAATTTTTAAATGTTATAGTATGAGTAATTAAAAGCAAGTGTACTTTGATTATAATTGTTTGATCATTTTAGGTTTTAATTTGAAATTTATCAAAATGCCCATTAAATTATTAAATATTATATAAAATTCAAAATACTTGTCTGTCATACATTTCCTCAATAATCATTAAAATAAAGATAATTTGTGAGTATTGTTTCTAAATAGCAAATAAATTAGAATTCTGTCAGTGAGTGTGTTATTGATATTTTAAAAAATTTTGTTAACTGTTTAAAAGATTGCTCACAATATTGTAAGAATATATCATGTACTGTAAGTTTTTTTTTTCTATTTTTTGTATAATAAGCATGAAATAGATTGCATTAATATGATTTAATATTGAACAGTGCAAACAAGTTTGAAAAATGGCAAACATTATTATAAGTTGATTTAGAAATTTGTTTTGTTACATGTCTGTATATTGTTAATGTAAGACAATTAATTTTCTGGACAGTAGAATTGTTTTGCAGAGGCAAAACAATCCTATCCTGTTTATTCTGTTAGCTGAAGATTATTTATAAATAATTAAAATTTTGATTTTAGTTCTTTAGATCTTGTTGTTTAATAAATAATGTTTGTTAAATAAATTGTTTCTAATTAAATATTTTTGGTAATCTCAACTTTAGCAGTTTGTTTGTCTTATTATTGAAAAAAGGAAAAAACATGGTGCTAAGTTTTATGGAACTTTTGGGAAGTTTTGTAAAATTGCCTAATTTTGCATCAAGCAAAATATGATATAAAAATTGAAAACATTCCTACTTGATCAAATCAGTCAAGTAGGAATATTTATGCTCTCAAAGAAAATTATTTACCCAAAAATTTAGTTTGTATGTCAAATTGTTCAAACATCAGTTTGGGTACAATAAAAATTATGAAAATAATTTTTTGATAATATGTTTTCATTTGTTTTTTTATGAATATTTACTTAAGTAATAATTATTAGTTTATTACTGGTGATATAACATGTTATGCAAATTTATTATAAACAAGAACTGATGTCAATTTTTGCATTTATTATTTCTTAAGTTGTTATATAAAATGTTAGGATTTTAATGCTTAAAATGACAGTCTTACAGTGGGCCTGGCCAACAAGTTGATTGCTGCATCATGTTTAGTCATTCATAGATAATATGGCCTATTAAAATGCAAAAAGAACATTTGTTATTTTAATAGGAATATTAAATTCATATTTTTTTATGTTGAAATTTAACTATTTGCTATGGGTTGGTAACACTACTCTGAGATCATATGTGGTGGATATGAAAAAGTGCTCTTGTGTTGTTGCAGTTGTTCCTGGGTTAGGTTGTTATTTTAGAAATTGTTTGTGTTCTTAACAGTTTAAATAAAGTGCGAAATTATTGTGCCAAAGAGGAACAAAACTTGCCATTTGTGTGATGCAAAGAAATAAAATTCTTTTTCTAATAAAATTAAAAATAAATGGTGCCTTTTAATTTATGCCTTAGTGTCTCTAGCAAAAAGAGGTACCCTGGAATGTTAATTACTGTGCAATAAATAAATATAACTATGTTTTACAGCATAATTTTATTAGGGTAAATTTTTAAGTTTTTACAGAAGAACAATGTATGGTAGATCATTGGTACTTTAACATCCCACTATAAGTTAGCCAGGTTTGCTTTACAGCTTCCATTAGTTTTGTTTGTAGATTTCAGGCTTCCTAAATACCAAGGTGTATCCCATAAATATAAAGACAGTAACTTAAAAGTTTAAAATATTATTAACAATGCTTAAGCAATGAAAATGATTTATATATTTATTTCAGACACTTTCTGAACATGTTGAAATGCAAGAAACATTTCAAAGTGGCTATAATATATAAGATGTCATTTAAAAAATAATCATTGCAAAAACAAAATTTTTATGAATGTAGTAGATTTGATATGACCCAAAATTATAAAGGCATTGTATTTTAATAGCCAATAAAGTTACCTCTTTTATTAATTACTTTAAAATATGATCTGCTAACTTCAAAATTGACTTCACAATATTTCTGGTTTTTTCATAACAAATAACATTGCCATTTTTAAATCAATAACATTAGGAAATAATATCAAAATGTTGTGTGTAGACTTTTCCAATTTTTCTCATTCGTTTTCATAGGAAGATAATGTTGGTCAGTCCATAACTTGCACACCATTATCTAAAACCAGACAAATGCTGTCTTTGAAGTATGGATTGAAGTATTGTTTTGTTGAAAGATTCAGAGAAACTTCCAATTTTTTCATTAAATGAAAGGGGGTGATTTTCAAACAAGGTTTGATGAACAATACATTCATTTTACAATTAACAAAAGAAACATTAATTTTACCTAAAAATCCAAACCCTGCTCAAATCACAACACTATCATCTTGCTGCTTTTACAATACATTTACTCTTTTCTTAGATTGTGCCAATAGTATTGCCAGCCATCTGCACCATCCAAATTAAACTTTTTTCATTACTGTTTCCATTTGATGGCCTAGAACATTGTTTCCTTGGTTCATTTCAATCTGACAGTTTTATGTGTAATAGAGATGCAGGCTATCACTCTTTCTCTTATATTATAGTCTTTGGGTATAATGACAAACTTTATTATAACAAAAATACAAAATTAATCGTTTCCAAGCCCATGCAAATATTTATGCATCTTAATCAGTAATTTTTTTTATTTGGAAAGAAATTATAACTTTCCTTTATACTTATAGAAACAAAAAAAAAACATTGGATGCTGATAAATAATTTTTTTTTATTACAGGAACTTATTTTATTGAATATCACTTTTCTTATCATTTTTATAGAGCCTATGACATAAAAATGTGAACTCATTTCATTGATTAAATATACAATTTTAGTATTTTTTCCAATTAGAATGACTGACTTTATAATTATGGGATGTATTTTAAATATATATGAATATGGGAAGTTTTCAGAAAAGCAAAATGCAGGAGACATTTATTCTGAAAGCAAAGATTATATTGTTTGAAAATAAACAATTAATTTTCTTAAAATGTTAACATATCCTAATTCTGTTAATTTTTATAATAATTTAGATAATATTAAATGAATGAAATATTACTTTTTTGATAACAGAAATTGAAATTAATAAAAATAATTTTCAAATCTAATTGAAGATCAAATTTGAATGCTTTGGAAATTTTTTCTAAATTGGAAGTATGGTATAAATTATGTAATATAGATGAAATTTTACATAATCATGTCTAATATTTTCCTTATACAATATTTAAATTTTCAGTAGTATTGTAATGGGAAAAGCATTTATGTTAGAAATTATTGAAGTTTTTATATTTTACATTCAGCAATTACTATTAATTACAGTAATAAATTTCAATAATTATAAGGCTTACAGTAGAGAAATACAGTGGTACCTCGGTATACGTCTGCTTTAGAATACGTCCTGTTTGGATGAAACAAATTTTGCTCAGTATACAACTTTTGTTTGGTATACGACTTAATTCAATTATACGTGCCATCTATGAACAAGTAGCACTATTGGTGTACTAGACGTTCACGGTGCAACGGTTTATAACTTGGTTAAATTTCTTCTGATTTTAATTTATATGTAAAATTTTATTATTTTTATTAATCATGAATTGCAAAAAGGCAAGTGAAAAGCAACAGAAAACTAAAAAAAATGACTAGAATCACAATGGAACTGAAAAAAGAGATTGTTGAGGAATATGAAGGTGGCATGCGTGTTCAAGATTTAACTGTTGCATACTGTATTCCGAGAACGACAATATCAACAATTGCGAAAAATAAAGACATTATTAAATCTGCTAACGTTGTGAAAGAGATTAAATCAATTTCTAAACAGAGATCGAAGACATTAGATCATGTCGAGAAATTGCTTTTGCTTTGGATAACTGTAAAACAGTGTGCTGGCAACAGCATATCAGAAGGAATTATTTGTGAGAAAGCTAAAAAGATGCATGCTAATCTCATGAAAAATCAAGCAGGAACTAGCCAGGAAAGCGAGGTGTTTAAAGCCAGCCATTTTTTTTCATGAGAACAGATTAATCATTTTTACATTACTTCTTATGGGAAAGGTTGGTTTGGTATACGTCCAATTCGGTATAAGTCCAAACATTAGGAATGGATTAAAGTCGTATACCGAGGTTCCACTGTAGTTTTTTTTTGCATGACTTAAGAGTTTTTTATATATGTTGAAAAAATAACTATAATTAATTGTTTTTTAAATTTTTAAAATATTTTGGTTATTAAAATAAAGTTAAAGTTATGTGCTATATTTTGATTGGCTGTTTATGATGTGTGATACAATTAGTCTACTACTATCAAATTTTATAATTACTCAATGCAACGGTATTGAGGATTACATAAGTTTTATCAAAATAATGAAAATAAAAAGTTGTAAAGCTTTAACAAAATATGTTTAAAATTTCTTTGTGAAATTATTGTAATGCAAATTACATCAAAATAAGAAAAATGTTGTTTTTTAAGAAAAATGCATCATATCTCCCAATACATTGTGAAGTATGGTATAAACACAGTAATACCTTGACTTACACTATCTGACTTACGCGAACCCGGAGTTACGCGATTTTCAAATCTTGTTGATTTGTCTTTTGTTTGAGCGCCACGCAACTCTTGATTACTCACTCCACCTACACTATTGTTCAGCTTAATGTTCAGACATGTTGCATGGAATCAACACATAGCTACAATTTATTTTGTATTATTTATTTCTGTGTTTGTTATATCTACGGAGACTTGAGAGACTCTATGTATTGATTTCTTGTAACTGTGAACGAATCAAAAGACGAGATAAGATTAATGACAACATTTATTAGCTTACATACATCCAACTTGGATTTTACACAAATTGTGAAATTATACCCCGACTTACATGAATTTGACTTACACGGTTATCGCTTGGTCCCACCTATTGCATAAGTTTGGGTTATTACTGTATTATGTGATTGTTACTATGTAGGCACTGCAAAGTTTTTAAGAGAAACAAACTTTAACACTTTTGGAAATAATAATCAGAATTAAAATGTTAATTATTGAATATGATTATGTTATAACCATAAATACATATAAAAATGAAATATGATAAATTATTATAGGAATTAAACTGTAATTTTTTTTATTAAATATATTTTCGTTTTATTTAAAGCAATAATCTAGCAAATATATTACTAATAATAGTAGTAATAATGTCAATTTCATTAATACCATTGAAAAGACATCTCTCACTTAAAATTATCAATATGGAAGTTCTCATTACACATTATCTTTCAGTTATCTATAATAGTTTTTAATGTAGAATAAAAATTTTATCAAATGAATAAATTTTCTTGATATATATTATATTTGTAGTTTGATAAAAATTTTTTGCATCTAATTTGAGAGTTAAATATTTTTATTTGTCTAGCTTGACAATAATCAACTAATAAATCTAGCCTTAAACCAAGCTTACACCCAATGAAATTGCATCAGTTTACTGAGTAGAAACTATTATTATAATTATTACTTTAGATAAGAGATGGCACTTAACATCTACCTCTAATACCAATAAACATAAGAAAGTTAATTTCCAGAAATCTTTCATAAGATATAGCCTGAAATTATGAATTAACTTCTGGATTATTTTTTAAGTAAATTGCTTACAGTTTATCATCATTAATTTAAGAAAGCTTGGAAAAATTCATAATTTAAATTTGTACAGTGGTATCTTGGTATACATCTGCTTTAGAATATGCCCAATTTGGAATACGTCCTGTTTGGACGAAACAAATTTTGCTCGGTATACAACTTTTGTTCGGTATATGACTTAATTAAATTATACGCGCCATCTACAAACAAGTAGCACTATTGGTGTACTAGACGAGACTAGACGTTCACGGTGCAACGGTTTATAACTTGGTTAAATTTCTTCTGGTTTTAATTTGTATGTAAAATTTTATTACTTTTATGAATCATGAATTGCAAAAAGGCAAATGAAAAGCAACTTCTCAACCAAGTTATAAAAAATGACTAGAATCACAATGGAACTTATAAAAGATTGTTGAGAAATATGAAGGTGGCATGCGTGTGCGAGATTTTAACTGTTGCATACTGTATTCCAAGAACAACAATATTGACAATCTTGAAAAATAAAGACATTATTAAATCTGCTAACGTTGCGAAAGGGGTTAAATCAATTTCTAAACAGAGATTGAAGACATTAGATCATGTTGAGAAATTGCTTTTGCTTTGGATAACTGAAAAACAGTGTGCTGGTGACATCGTATCAGAAGCAATTATTTGTGAGAAAGCTAAAAAGATACATGCTGATCTCATGAAAAATCAAGCAGGAACTAGCCAGGAAAGTGACGTGTTTAAAGCCAGCCATTTTTTTTTCCTTACATGAGAATGGATTAATCATTTTTACATTACTTCTTATGGGAAAGGTTGGTTTGGTATACGTCCTATTCGGTATAAGTCCAAACATCAGGAATGGATTAAGGTCGTATATCAAGGTTCCACTGTATTTATAAGATATAATTACAGTAACGTAATTATTTAGTTACTAGCTTTATTCATAAAGTATTCAACTAAAATATCAATATTTATTTTGATATATATATTCTTTTTATTTTTATAGATACAAGAAACAGAATTTTCATCAAAGAAATTAATCTGTAATAAAAATATGTGAATATAATAGAAATAACAATAAATTTATACTATGATTTTGATAATGCAGATCAAGCAAAAGAATATTCTTATTATATTGGTAAATTATTTTGTCTTTCTTAAGTGAGTGTAAGTGACATCATATGATAGTGGAGTTAAAGAATGTTTGTATAGATATTTAAAACATGGAAGTTTCCATGAATCAGCATCTAATGGAATTAACTTTTGACAGAAATAGAAAAAATTGAAAATTGAAATGATAATTATGACTGGATTATTCAAGTAATGATTTATCATACATGACTTCACAAAATTTTTATTATTTAAGTGTTAGTAGAGAAGATTCAAATATTAAAATGCTTTTCATCTTTATGCAATATCAAAAAATATATAATCTTGTTTCTATTACCAGTAATAATAATACTTTTAGACTTCAATTCATTTTTTCAATGCTTTTAAAGAATAATAAGAAAATGTTTGTCTAACTCCCAATTTAATAGGTATTTTAGAGATTTAAAATACAAATACATACTCTTAATAAAATATCATTTATTAAGAACTTTTAGAATTTTCATTGATAATATCAATTTAAAATAACTTCAAAAATCTGCAGAGAAACTGTAAATAGCTTGAAAATACATAAAAGTAATATATTTGACTACTAGTATATTATGAGCAAAATATAAAGACTAGTCTAAATGTATATCAATATGCCAGTATTGGTATATGTTAGTATAAACTATTTCTGAGTTCCTAAAGTCAGTGTGGTCCAATTGATGGCCTACTAAGTAGAATTCTGTCATTCCTTAATTCAATGTTACAATAGTGGTAGAGAATTCCTAAAATCAACATTTTGCTTATATTGCAGCACCAAATAAATCAGTTCTTGGAGTGTTTCATCTAATCTGCGTAGTCTTCAACATGTTCAACTCTCACATCATAATGTATTGAGATCAACTTGATTTGGCATATATGCATTTCTAAAGACAATATACTTTCTCATACCAATTCAAACTTTTTCACTAAGTGCTGATGACCTAGTCTATTGTAAAATGTTGAATTTAGAAACTTGGCATATATAGTGATTTCAAATTAATTTAATTGATTTGCACTACAGGATTATAAATCAGATAAAAATGTTGTGAAAACTATATATGAATTTTTTTAAGCAAGTAACATTTTTGGGATAAATGTGATAAAATATCATTATAAATCTATTATATCAGGATAATAAAATATATCATAATTTTCCTAATTGTCAATACATACAATATACAGAGTGAATCATCCTGTATATTGTTTTGTGCAGAGTGAATCACCATGTATATTGTATTTAATGATTTCTGAAAAATTACTGAACACCATCAGTTGGTAACTGGTGGTGTTCAGTAGGTTTTTCAGAAACCATTAAGAGATGGAGGATGTGACTAATAACAAAATAACTATAGAGCAAATGGAGACAATTTTTGGTAAACTTGATGACCTTGAAAAAGCAGTTTTTGAGAGAGTTTTTAAATTATAAGGGGTGTTTTTGAGCCATTATATGGATATGTGGATCATACAAAATAAATAAGTTTAATAAAATGCGACCTATTATAAAAAGTAACCGTTTTCAAGAAATCAGTCAGTTTCATCTAAAAATTTTATTTTGTTTTCTTTAGAGTTTCTATGCTGAGAACTAAGTTTATTTATCAAAAAGCTTTACATGACAGAAACATGGTAATAATGAAAGTACGTTTCAAAATTGACTCAAATTAGATGCTAAAAATGTACCTTCTTGAAGTATACAGGGATATGTTCTTCTAGGAAAAGTATTTAATACATTTTGTATGAGAAAACATGTCATAGTTATCCCAGTTTGAGTTAACCAGGTTTCACTATGTTAAAATTCCAGGAATGACTATTAAATTAAGAAATTTATTTGAGATTTTATTTCCAATTTTGTAGCCTTAGTAATTAAGTAATAACTTAAATATAGCAGTTATGTGAAAAAGAATTTGTTTAATTTTCAAAGATATTTACTGAATAGAATTGTAAAACTCATTGTATACATCTACACTACTATTAGTTGCACTTCTGTGAATGATAGTACATAGAAAATTGAAACTACTGATTCTTTAATCAGAATTTTGATTGAGTTTTATTTAAAATTATTTTAAAATTTATTATTTACTTACATTAAAAGTTATATATGAAAGTGAAAATAATATAATTTAAAAAATTTTTATTAGAAAAAATATATCAAATAAATTATAAGTTTTTGATAGTCATATGATTCATTACTTTAGTTATTATCACTTACATCATATTCTTAATTTTTTATATATTTAATGATCTAATTCATATGTTATAAATAACAATAATTTTTNGTCGCGTTATTTCAGTTCAAAACTTTTTCCTGAAGGGAGTTAATAGATGATTGGCATAACTCTATTGTTAAAGGAAAAGTATGATGTACAGGGGCAAGACAATATAAAAAACTTGAAAATGATTGATATTTAAACAACTTTCTCTAAAAAAATGCAATATAAATAGCTACTACAAGTATTTTATCACATTTTCTACTTCACAGAATTTGTTTTGAATCTTAAAAGTTGTACCAGTACATAAATGTTTTTATTTAGAATATATTGATAGATTTTTTTCAATTTGTTTTAGTTTACAAATATATATGAATCTATTAATAATCTAAAAAATATAAATTTTTAATCATTCAAAGACTTTGTGGTTATTTACAAATTTAATACGTGATAAAACAATTAGGAAAAAATAATTTTCAATATAATATCAATAAAAAATAATATACCATATTTTATTAATAATAAATTATAGCATAGAATATCTACTATATAAATTACATTATTAAATTATTGTAATAAATTTGTATTCAGAATTTTGACTTCAGAGTTGAGACTTTGAAAAAGTAAAATTAGACATGCGATTTGAAAAAATTGACCCATAAATTTCCACTCATTTGTCTATCTGTCTGTCTATCATTAATCTCGAGAATGGAGTTAGATGAACGTTGAGACAAGATACAGAAAGCTTAGGGGCAGGAAGCCCTGATTAACTATATATGAACTTCTGATGCAAACCAGAAGTCGCGTTATTTCAGTTCAAAACTTTTTCCTGAAGGGAGTTAATAGATGATTGGCATAACTCTATTGTTAAAGGAAAAGTATGATGTACAGGGGCAAGACACAACTTTGAAGTGGAGAGCATATATTTTAAATTAAAAAATATGATTTAACATTGCAGCCCGGCATTGTGATGATGTCACAATAAATAATTGCTCATTTTAAAAAAATATATTTTTTAAAAATTAATAACTTTGTATGTGTTCTGTTATAATTTAGAAATGATGTACAATTTTCCAGTGTCAGATGAAAATGTGATAAATTTAAAATTTTATTCTTATTTCATTGGCCATAGCTTCTGTAATATGATAAAATTTTAAATTTATCATATTACAGAAGCTTTTCTTATGACCAAGTTCACTTTTGAACATCTGGTCATAAGTTGATTTGTTCACAATTCAGTAATATATCAATAGTTATTGACTTTCTTATATATAACATATATTACATGAAGGTTTCACTATATATTATCAATAGTCTATGTACTTTATAAAATTAAAATAAATAAATTCTGGTTTTTTCTTGAACTGTAGTGTTTTAAGAACAGTCTTTACATTTAAAAACATTAAAGATTTAAATATGTGGTTATAAAATTAGATGTTCATATGTTGAACAGTCTAAATAAGGAGTTCCTGTGTTTATATTTTTAAAAGCAATTGTTTAAACTTTATTCGTACATTTAAGCTTGTTTTTTTGTTTTTTATGTTTAGATCTGAACAAAACGTTTCTATAATTAAATATAATAAAATAAAAATTACACCAAGATTTAATGCATTTTTTCAAATTAATCGTAATTAACTTTTAAATTTCATCACTAGATGGCAGCACACTTATTTCAATAAATACGGTTGATAAACAAGTACCTTATTTATCAGTATAATTGGATTAGTTTACGATTTCGTTCCATTCTGCGACAACGACAATAAAATAATCGCAAGAAATAAAGATATGCAATCGTGAAATGTCGCAATAAATTTTTATAGCAGGATAGTTGTATTACTCTACATTAGTCTTTATTATAATTTATTGCATCCGAGATAGATATGGTTAAAAGAACAAAAATGAATCTGGCGTTAAAATATCATATATTTATTTTTAAATTTGAAAGTTTTCTTTACTAAGAAAAAAATTGCAGGTGGAAGTAATGCCATGTCCTTGAATACTATAACACTCCTTTAAGTTACAAGGTCTTGTGTGTGGAGCAGAACGAATAATCATCAGCTGGCAGCGTGTTGTAATCGGTTTTAACCTTCGAACTGACGTTCATTGTGCGGATTTGGCATAAAAAAAGAGGGGGAAAACATAATAAATGCAACATTAAAACCTATAAATATATCCCGGGTCAAGGGAATAATTTGTTATACTAGATGTACCGTTATGTTGTCTATAAATTAATTTCGACTCTTTGTAATTGAATATTACAGTAATAAAATATACAAATTAAATATTAAAAATATTCTCCATTAGAATTTATCGACCTCGGGAAAGATTTCAGCATTTGAATCTATGCTGTAATTAATACTCATTCAGCACTTTCATGTAATTAAAACTATTTAATACTAATTAAAAGTTTTAAAACATAATTTTATATATTTAACATATTTTGAAAAAAAAACTTAAACTTTCGAATAAGTTTGTTAAACGTCAATCATTTTTAATACATAAAACATACCTACAACATTTTATAATGTTGCATTGATCATTACAAATGTCAGAATCATAAAAGTTGACATTTAAATGTAGGAGTATCATATAAATTTCAAGGCTTTTCATTATAAAAAGTGATTTAAAACAGAAGTTATTAAATATTTGTATATTATTTGATATGCTATATTAGAATAATTGCATCGAATTCATTACCGTATTAATGTCTATGATAAAATGTTATAACCCCTAAACATCACTTTTTAAAAACGTTTAACGTGACACAATTCGCAGCTTTAATTGGTCAATTGAGACCCATATTTTAATCTGTTATACAGTACTTAAGACATTCCGTAGGTTCATTCACTTTAGTTGTAAGCTGCACACTTCTGGTAAGGGCAACGAACTTAAAATATACCTGATAGATTTATTGGTCTTTTAATAGTTATCAAGTTAGTTGTATTTAATTGATTAACATTTTATCATACAAAAATATGTTTGCGATTGAATTTTATCCGATAATATAAATATTTATCATTA